GAATGGTAAAGTATGTCCTGGACCGAATCAGACTTCCAGAAGATCTGGACTTCTAGAGTACAACCTGGAGCTATATAAAAAATAAATTGAACTGAATTGAATTGAATTCTGTAATATTGGTTTTAAAGTCACTATAGATATCAAAGATGACGAGATTGCTTTGTAGAAGATGTAAAAAGCAAACAAAAGATTCAAAAGTGGGTGATTGTAACAATTAAGGAAAAATATAGTTCCTTACGTATTCAAGCACGGGATCCATTTACACTCTACACTGCAGCTCCTGTTCCAGTTTGCTCTTTCTCCATACATACACATTTGTGTACATACACATGTCTACATACACATATTTGTGTACATACAGATACACAAATGTACACATTCAGATACACACTTGTGTATATACTGGGGGTTTACGAAAATTGGTGAAAATCTGCCCAAGCACTTAAGTCAATAAGTAAAGTATTTATTCATGAACCCCAACTTGTAGGTGTTTTTTCCAGAATTGAACAGGGCAAGTGGTATAATTAGAGGCACAGTTGTTTTCTGGCTCAACTAAAAGAATAATAATTGAGGCACATTTCATGAAATAAATATTTATTAATGATCACAAGCCACAAATTACACTACACACAACAAAACTTACAACTCACAAGTTCCAGTATGTACAGTATTTACTAAACAAGGTGTTTCAGAGGCCTAACATTCTGGTCACCCAGAAAGCCACAGACTGGTACTAAGCATTAAACTCTTAATACCTACAGAGGCCACATAAGAGATAAGCTGCTTTCTAACTGAATACAAAGCAACCTGAGGTTAAATCTCTCTCTCTCTGTACCCCAGGTGCCACAAAATAAGTGGGAGCCTATATCCCTATCCATAAAAATGCACCCTAAACGTTTCTAGCTGAGGTTGCCTGGTGCAAGCTTCAAGTCCCAACTCCTCTGGACTCTTCTCTCCACTCCTGCCCTGCTTCCTGTTTCTTCTTCTTCTGTGTGCTAGTAATGTGAGTTTATATTGTTTGTCTGTACTGCTCCTTGACAGTCATTAACCCATTACTTACCTAGGGATACTAAGGTAAACTCTACAATTGTTTGTGCTCAAGAGAGCCCCCAGTACCTCAGCAAAAATCCACTCTGCTTTGAAGCTAGAAGTGTTTGTTCTGCCAAGTGTCACAAAGGTCATCTAAAATCCAAGAAACACTTCTCAGTCACCTAAAGCTGTAACAAAAAAATGTCCCCAATAACTGCTTTCATCATGTGCAGAGGGGTCATTAAAGTGGTGAAAAAAAGTAACAGATTTCAGCTTTTGCCTGAAGCATTTTCATTATTTAGTCTTCCAATTTTAAATTCCCTAATTTAAGAGAAAACTAGTGTCCTCACAGAGCTCAGTGTTTTTCCAACTTGATTGCCAGCTCAGCAGGTGTGATCCTGGTTAGTACCTGGATAGGAGGCCTCCTGGGAAAAACTAACATTGCTGCTGGAAGAGGTGTTAGTGGGGCCAGCAGGGAGCGCTCACCCTGTGGTCTGTGTGGGTCCTAATGGCCCAGTATAGTGATAGAGACACTATGCTGTATAAAGGCGCTGTCCATTGGATGAAAAGATAAATTGAGGTCTTAACTTGAAAAGAGTAGTGTGTAACCCTGGTGTCCAGGCCAAATTTCCCTGTGATCTTTACCAAACATAGCCTCCTAATAATCCCCCTCTATGAATTTGCTTCATCACTCTG